ACATTGATAATAATCAGAAATGTTTCTTGAGCAGCAAATCAGCATATTAGCATGATTTCTGAAGGATCACTTCAGAAGGGACACTGAAGACTGGAGTAATGATGCTGAAAACTCAGCTTTGCATCAAAATATATTCACATAGAAAACTTATTTTAAATTGTAGCAAAATTTCACAATCTTACTGTATTTACTGCATTTTTGATCAGGTAAATGCAGCCTTTGTAAGCATAACATACTTCTCTCTATTATCTTAACACCTTCTTAACATTCAAAAATCTTACAAAACCCAAACTTTTGAATGGTAGTGTATGTGATGAATGTACGTGAGATGCAATGAAAATGCAGTGACATTGTGTGTGTGTGTGTGTGTGTGTGTGTGTGTGTGTGTTACAGACCCCAAACTTTTGAACAGCAGTATATGTGTGTAGACTGAGTGATATAACTAAATACCAGTAGTTTGTTCTTGTAGATGTATTTGGATCGTCCCGCTGAGTCTTTGATTTCTTTGCTGAAGACGAGGGAGATCTCGAAGAGGAAGAGGTGGCGGTCTCGTCCCTTACGGATCAGAGATTTGGGGTCCCACACCTGGAAGGTGTCCTGCAGGATGAGTTCACCCTGAACATCCAGATTCTCATCAAAACCTGACGGAAGAAAACATCACGTCAGAGGTTGAAGGATCAGTGGAAAAGACTGATAAGTGTGTGTGTGTGTGTGTGTGTGTGTGTGTGTGTGTGTGCGTGCGTTCGGTGGTGTTGTACCCTCAAGCATGCTGACGTGCATGGCGTCGTTGGCTCTCTTTGGCACACTCAACATGACCTCCAGCCCGTCCTTAATTTCACCTTTACCTTCTTCACAGCAGGACAGCAGCTCCTGTAAGCACACATACTGTACTGTACTGTACACACTACACAGCATCTGACCTTCTCAAAAACACACGGTACCTTGAGCAGCAGCTGGTATTTGGTGATTCTCTGCACAGGTTTGATGAGGTATGATGAAATAGAGTTGACCAGACCATGTCTCTTCTGAATCTCCTGCTCAGAACAGACAAAACAATCATCATATATAAACAGAGCATCGTTCACACACACACACACACACACACATACACACTTCGGATATTCGGATGAAACAGCAATTTTAAGTCTGCTAAAAAAAACAGGACTCTTCTTCTATTTATCATTCTGGGATTAACTCAATTGTTGATTGGTGTGATGCTATTTTTTTTTTTAAGTGAACACTAAGAAAATGGAGGAAATAATTTTTGATCCTTAAGGGTATTGGAGATCATATGCCTGTATTTGTTCACAATCAAGAAATTACACAGGTGCAACCATACAAGTATTTAGGAGTGCATATAGATAAATATCTCATGTGGGACACTCGTGTTAATTGGGTTTGTGCTAGCTAATGAATATGCTAGCTAATGAGTCTATTACAAATTTCCCCTTCTGGGACAATAAAGTATATTTCATTTAATTTCACTGACCAGCTGAATACCGTGACATGCTCAGGATCAGAGACTCACTGACTCCATCTACTGACCACATTGTGCTCTGTTGAGTCATTTCATTTCAGCTACATTTACTTTAGTTCAGTAATATTTTAAAACATGTAGGCAATTTGCTGAAGATATAAAAGAGAACAAAATATATTCAGAGTTATTAAGTTATTGATTGAGAAAACTCATCTGTACTTACGTCAAAAAAACTCCCAGCATGCTCTAGGATGAGCTGACTAGAATCTGGTTTGTTTTTGCAGTAGGTCACGTAAATATTAAACTTATCAGCCTGAAACACAAGCACATAAGCTTTAGCTTAGCATATCAAAGGAAAACAGAAAGAGCTGCCATATAATATTCGCAGCGTTCATTTATTGTCATAATTCTTGCTATAAAAAAAATAATTTAGCTGGATCTGAATGTCTTAAGTATGTCCTAATAGTTTATGCATATGAGCAAAAATAAAATAAAATAAAATAAAATAAAATAAAATAAAATTCTGAATAAATAGGGTTTAGGGTTAGTTGCTTGTAATTATGTATAATTAACTGCTATTATTATAGTAGGTACATATAACATGGACACTGTAAAATAAAGTGTTACCATAAAACAATGTTTTTCTCAATTGTTTGTTTTAAAAAAACACATAAGTTGTATGAGATGTTAGGTGCACAACAACATAAATCGTTTCCTGAGCAAATGTAATGACATGCAGGTGCTTTAGAAACACTCACCCATGTAACAAAGCAATGGCCCACATCCTCGGGTAGCTGCTCATAATTGATCAGCTCTTTCACGAATATACTATAACACACACAAAACAACATGCAAATGAGTCCTAATCACTGTATTTCCATAACACAAGCGATACACAATTTGCATATGTATAATTTTAATTGGAAAGCGTATTAGCCAACTCTATCATCTGCAAAAACAAGAAGACAGTATTCTGATAAAAAGCATTCATTCATTAATAGTTGATTAAATGAGAGAAACTCACTTATTATGGAAGTCGTAAATCTCCTGGATGTTTCCAAAGATGATGTGCTCTTTGTTGGCGATTCCTGGAGGGATTTCCTCTACGCCGTTGGTCATCTCCCACAAATACGTCTAATAAATACATCACATAAAGAGAAGTGAGTAGACATATAGTAGGAAATTACTGTCTGCTATTAATGGCATGCAATATCTCAATGTACAGTACATGTACAGTAAAGACCTTCAGCATCTTACACAGGTCATATCATGGCAAACATGTATTCCTTCTGAAATAATGGAGTTTGGTGTACATATAGACAGAAATACAGAAGACTTAAAGGTAGAGTAGCAAAAGTGTTTAAATGTAAGGATCAGGATTTATTATTATTATTAATACAAGTGAAACACTTACCTCTAAACATTCGTGTAAGTCCCTCACATAAGCCTTTTCTGTCTGCAACAGCTCTGCTATAATAAACCTGCAACAGTACAAAGCAGCGGTCGAGTCTTCAGTCTGAAACTGTGATGTGT